CATGACAAAAATCTTAGCTTTACTCATGAGGAGGGGACATTCAGCTTTATGCAGTTCAGTGCAAGGTGGGTAGCGCAAAAAAAAAAAGTTCTGCGCAGCAATGCTTTTGCCAGTAATTACTGAATTATAGCTAGCAAGCGCTTCTGCATTTGCACCCATCATTTGACATGGTAATAAATACCTCAAGTTGGAGGGATTTCCAGCCCTGCTCAGTGTGGGTGGGCAGCGACAATTTAGAACTCACTTAAAGATCAAATTAAGCTGTCAAAACTATTATCCTCTGAGCCAAATTCTTTGGAACTTCACTGACAGCAGCTCTCACTGCGGCTCTTTTAATATTTCCCTTCCTTCACCACACTTCTGGGCTGTCTTCACTTTTGTAACTCAAGTGAATTTATTGCCAGTTAATTCGAGGTAGATAACATGTTTGTAAGAAGCTAATGTGGATCTCCCCATTCCTTTGACCTGGGCTACAAGCTTTTGTTCTTTACCCTATGCTGATCCCTAGGGGCACAAAAGTCAGTGAAAACATACCCGCTGACTGGAATCTCCACACTGTGACCAATCTGAATGGAGCAGGTGGGATCTGGCAGAGATCACATTCCTGTCACAGCTTCCGGGTGTTACCACTAAGGCCTTGGCTACACTGGCGCTGTACAGCGCTGCAACTTGCTGCGCTCAGGGGTGTGAAAACACCCCCCCCCCAGCGAGTGCAGCAGTGTAAAGTGCCAGTGTAATCAGTGCCTGCAGCACTGCACGCTCGCTTGCAGCGCTGCAAGCTATTCCCCTCGGAGAGGTGGAGTACATACAGCGCTGCGAGAGAGCTCTCGCAGCGCTGGCGGCGTGACTACATTCGCGCTTCACAGCACTGCCACGGCAGCGCTGTGAATTCCCAAGTGTAGCCAAGGCCTAAAGGTCTGAAAAGCAGCTGTGGAGTATTCTAGGAAGCATGGTGATGTTGTGCAGATGCAGGGGGAGGGGAACCAGAAGCATCTGTTGAATATAAAATTGTATGGGTGAGGATGAAGTGGATGAGTTTGGCGTGGATATCTGAGTGTGGTCCATTGTTTTGAAAATATTTGAGGCAGGCAGGGATGCCTTCCTTGTGAGGAATGTTGATGTATAGGGAGGTGACATCCCTGGTGGCAAGGGTGGTGTTCTGAGCAGGGCCGGCTCCAGGCACCAGCTTGTCAAGCAGGTGCTTGGGGCGGCTGCTCCGGAGAGGGGTGGCACATCCAGGTATTTGGCGGCAATTCGGCGGACGGTCCCTCACTCCGCCTGGGAGCGAAGGACCTCCTGCCAAATTGCCGCCGCAGATCGCGATTGGGGCTTATTTATTTTTTTTTGGGCTGCTTGGGGCAGCCAAAACCCTGGAGCTGGCCCTGGTTCTGAGAGAATTTGTTAATGTTGTGGAGTAAGCCAGTTATGTCCTGGAGGAAGCTGGACATTTGTGCAGTGAGTGGTTTGAGGATGGTTTCTATGAGTCCTGATATTCTGTCAGTAAGAGTGCAAGGACCAGGTATGATGGGTTCCCTTGTTTGTGTATCTTGGGAAGCATGCAGAAGGTCTCTGGGGTGGTTTCATGAGAGATGAGGTTGTAGAATTTCTTTTGACCTTCAAACTACCTCCCTATCTCTCCAAGCTCATCATCAGAAACAAGCTCCCCACAGACCAAGACACGACAACCACAGGTGCTGACTTTCCAAAGTGCCGGGGGAGCTCTTGCCCCCACTCCACCCTTTCCCCAAGGCCCCATTCCCTTCCCGCCCCTGCTCCACCCCCACCCCACCTCTTCATGCCCAGTTCCACCCCCTCCCCGCCCCATACCTTCCCCTGAGCGCGCCCCGTGTCCTTGCTCCTGCCCCGTCCCGCCTGCACACCATAAAACAGCTGTTTGCGGTGGGCGGTAGTCGCAGGGAGGGAGGGGGAGGCACTGATGGGGGGGGAAGCTGGTAAGGGGGCTCCTGGTGGGTGCTCAGCACCCACCATTTTTTCCCCCATGGGTGCTCTAGCCCCGGAGCACCCACGGAGTCAATGTCCATGACCCCAACTCAAAACAGCACAAAACCCTGCCAGAACAGATGCAAAACCTGCAGCCATCTCTCCACTGCTATGAGGGTCAACACCCCCCACAACACACCTTTCAAGATGTATGGGTCTTACATGTGCTTATCACACCATGTGATGTACCAGATCCAGGGCCATAATGCCCCAACAACATGGGTGAAACCAGACAATTACTACATGCTCGAAGGAACTCGCACAGAAACATGAGACAAAAACACCACATCACCTGTGGGTCAACACTTTTCACAAAGTGATCACTCATCTGAGCTCTCAGTCCTCATCCTCAAAATAAACTTGCACAACACCTTCAAAAGACAAGCCTGTGAACTTAATTTTTTTGCTAGACACTAAAAATCACAGACTGAAGAGACACACTGCTGTAATAAGCCATAAATCCAATCTGTAACCTGCTAACAACCTCACCCTGGTTTTCCCCCTCCCTGCTTCATGACTGGAAAGGTGTTAACAGGCCACTTCACCTTGAATGACCCCTTGAAATGTGTGTTAGCTACTTATGCTAAACAATCTGTTCCACCTCCTCTCTCTAAGGGTATGTGACATGGGCAGTGTAGTCACAAAAATAAACACCCCGAATGAGGGGGTGTCTCCCCACTCTCAGTGATAAAGCGCTCTCTATACTGGTGCTTTTCAGCGCTAAAACTTGTGTCGCTCACTGGAGTGTTTTTTCACACCCCCGAACAACTAAAGTTTTAGCGCCGAAAGTGGCAGTGTAGACACAGGGCTCATCTACACTTACATTTTATAGCGCTCTAACTTGCTGGCTCAGGGGTGTGAAACATCACCCCCCCCCCCGAGCGCAGCAAGTCTGAGCGCTTTAAAGCACTAGTGTAAACAGGCTCCCAGCGCTCGGAGCTAATCCCCTTGTGGAGGTGGATTACCAGGAGCATGCAACCACACTCACACTTCAAAGCGCTGCTGCAAGAGCGTTCCTGCGGCAGCTCTTTGAAGTTTCCAGTGTAGACATACCCACAGCCTAATATCCTGGGGCCAACACAGCTACAAAACTGCACATAGTGTATCCTATTATTTGTTAAGTGGTGAGCGTGTACTTGGTGCTGCACACGACAGAAAGCCAGAGGTCATTCCTGCTCCAAGGACCTTACTCATCTATACGGGGGATGTCAAAACATAAACTCTCGCAAAGGAAGGGTTACGTTTTTGTGGGATCACAAAAATAGTAACAAGCTTTCTGAGGGCAGAAATAATTTTCACAGGTGGAGAACACTCAGTTTTGATTAGTTGAGGTACTGCAGAATTTGACTATGAATAAAGACTTGAGGATTTTCTCCATTATAAACCATGTATAAACACACAAATATTTATCCATTAGAATCAGAAATATTTAGATGGATGTTTATTCCAGGAAAAACAGCAGAGTGCAAACTCTTCTATATAAATTCTAAATGGAAAGACCAGCAGCTGCTTCAGCATTTGTAGTTAATGTTTGTAAAGGGCTTTGACGTCAGATAATGCTATGTGAGTGCTTAGTTTTCTGTTTGCATGTTTTGGTTGGTGGTCAATTGCTGTGTCATGTCATCAGCCACTTGACGTCTACTGTGTTGTTAGTCATAACCAAGATTACCTAGAATTTGTAGATATCCAAATTGAGAGATGTTAGGCACCCAGAAATAACTGGTCATTCTTGAAAGTTTGAGCCCGTGAGTTTTCAAATATGTAATGAGAATCATTCAATAGGGTTACTTTTATCAATAGTTAGTTATTTTCTCAGATACAAATTAAAAGTAACCCCAGAAGAACTATAAATAATCCTTATTAAAATAGTGAATAAGTCATGCAGAATTAGCAAATACCAAATTCCTTATTTAATTTCTGGCTCCCATACTGTATGGCCAGCAAAGAAAAAAACCAAGTGAATTGAAAACACTGAACTCTATCTCAACCACAGCTATAACTAGAATAAAATGAGAAAGCAGAACATTTTATTTTTCCATACGGCAACCAAGTCTGTCTTTGCTACTCAGATTGAGCTATGGTACCTATTACAGATGGAACAACAATTTCTCTTCATTATTTACTTTTTTTTTGTTAACAATCAGTGCACAGCTTTCCTTGCCTAAACATTTTAGTTCTTATGAACACAAAATATAACTGCATCTTCTAGTGACAGTGACAACAATATTGAGCATTTTCTTAACAATTCTTAAATATTGAAAAATGAAAAAAACTTTTTCGATGTAAAAATTTTTGGGACTGCCCTCTAATTTGGTGCCCACAAATAACACTGCCTGCAATTTACTGCAGGTGAAAATGAGAGCACCTGCACCTATTGCCTGATTTGCAGGTGCTGTAAAATAACATTTCCACATCTCTCAGAGGGGTAGCCGTGTTAGTCTGAATCTGTAAAAAGCAACAGAGGATCCTGTGGCACCTTTAAGACTAACAGCAGTATAGGGAGCATAAGCTTTCATGGGTAAGAACCTCACTTCTTCAGA